AAATTGAACTTGATGATTGCATATTCATCAAAATAGGAATCAGAATCTGAACTAAAAACATTAGATCTCGCATTTTCATCGCCCGAATTCTCATCATAGCGATACTAAACCAGCTTTCGTGCTAGATCTACTCAACATTTTTCAAAGATTTCCACTCTAATTGTGATAAACAAACTGATTTCCTTCCTAAAATGCCATACAAACCATTCAGGAAGAAAGTTATAACTTTAACTAGTGTGCATGTCAAAATGCAGATCATTGCTAAACCTTTTTGTTGCTATTTCACATCATCGCCGATTGGGGTCTAGTGGGAAAAAGGACAGTTTCTTACTATCGCAGATCGGCGTACTGTTGGGAAAACGAATGGCTTCTGACTGTCTCCGATCGGCTTCCTGTTGGGATATAGGACAGTTTCTCACTGTCACTGATCGGCGTCCCGTGGGGGAAAAGAACAGTTTTTCACTGTCACCAATCGGTGTCCCGTGGGGGAAAGGGACAGTTTTTCACTGTCACCATTCGGTGTCCCGTGGGGAAAAGGGGCGGTTTCTGATCGGCGTTTTGCATGGAGCAAAGTGTTTAAGTGATCACAGTATACAGTCAGGCACAGACAATATGAACACGAAAAACGGTAATTCGTACAATTTACCTTTCCCTGACTGCATTCTTTAGGTTATTTTGGGGAGTATAAAGATTTCCACCCATCTGGCTTAGAACTATTGGAGATGGATGTTAAATCTGGAGGTCCTCTATCTTAAATAACCTCGCAGTTTTGAAAAGAAAGTTAAAACTTTATAATTAACAGTGGTCATTGAAATCCTCAACACTGAAAAATATGCAGTGAATGGTCTAACATAACCCTTCTTCAACACGCCCAGAATGATTTTTACAATGCAAATTAACGAGGAACCCATTCATAATAGAAAAGTAAAAGAAAGAAGTTTACTCTTACAGCAGGCTACAGCGGCAGTAGTACCAAGGCATCTGGAGGGTGTCTTTGAGGACTCTGTCACAAAGTAAGACCAGTGGGTACAAAAGGTGTTGAACCCAATACACAAAAAAAAAAAATTGCCTAATGGACGGAAAAATGTCTTATTTCTTCGATTTGATTATTTTGATGAGTGCTTGATTTCACCATTGTGGTGTTAGTGGCCAAGTGGTCGGACTACCGGACCCGTAATGGTGAGATTGATGGTTCGAGGGATTGAGCCTTAGCTTGGTCTCACATTGTGTCCTTGGGTAAGGCACTTTACGCGAATTTCCCCATTCATCTTGGTCCTTTTGGAGATGGACATTGAACTTGGAGGTCCTGCCTCTTAAATTACTGAATAGTGTTGATAGGGGCGTTAAAGCTATACCATTTAAAAAAACAAGTTTCACTATGATGCCTTACAAATTGTTTTATCTGGTCATTGTGCAGGTGCTGGTGGACGAGGCGCGTCAGATGGTGTACTTCATGGCGCTCAAGGACACTCCTCTAGAGCATCATCTGTAAGTGGTAAAAGTAAACTTTAGCACTCCCTCGTGCTGTGTGTGGTGTACATTGTGAATGAGCATGTGAGTGTGTGTGGTGTTCATTGGGAGTATGTGTGGTGTCCACTGTGTGTATGTGAGTGAGTATGTGTGGTTTACATTGTGATTATGTGTGTTAGTATGTGTGGTGTCCACTGTGTGTATGTGAGTGAGCATGTGTGGTTTGCATTGTGATTATGTGTGTTAGTATGTGTTGGGTGACACAGAGAGTGAATATGTGAGAGGGTATGTGTGGTGAACACTGTGAGTGAGTGTGTGCAGTTTACATTGTGAGTGAATATGTGAGTGAGTATGTATGGTGTACACTGATTGAATATGTGTGGTATTTTCACTATGAGTGTGCATGTGTTTGACTTTCTGAGGCGACGGAAGCTCTCACTATTTGTTCCTTCTTGTCTTCTGTCCTCCCCACCAGCTACGCTGTCTCGTACAGCCAGCCGACCCCGATGACTCCCATACGTCTCACGTCACCGGGCTCTTCCCACAGTGTACATATTAGTGAGGTGAGTGACGACTCTTGTCTTGCCTGCAGTAAAGGTCTACTTGAACACCCCGCTCGGAACTTATTTGACCTTTTTCTCACATCTCTGATGGGCCGCATTTGGGTTATTGTGAAGTCATGTGCGAAAGACTTTTTTTGAGACGGGAAGGGGTGGGGGGAGGGGGCTCGAGTCATCTTTCACCCGTCCTTTTTCGCTTTTTGTTCTCTGAGTATCTTTCAGAAAGGTACAGGCTGGGGTGTATTGTTCCTTCACTTTCATATTTTTATTATCATTACGATCATTATTATGGTAAGTGTTGTCATTTTATTCCTATTATTATCATGATTTCGCTACCTCAGAATGACAAAGTTCTATCTGCTCCATTCCTAGTTTTGAGAAATTTGATGTTAAAAATGTTGAGTTTCACAATATTTCAAGCTTTATCGAATGCAATTCTTTGCATATCTTGAAAAAGACTGAATAATCTTACAACTTTGATACAGCAGATGGTCATGGTCGTAGTAACTCAAAACGGCCCAAAATGTCAGGTAGAACTTTGTAATTCTGAGGTAGCAATTTAGTACTATTATTATTATCATCATTAATATATGTGAGGTGTGCTGACAAAATGAGTTACTTCTCGGGTTTTAGCATTATGGAAATTGATACATCAAATTGATAGGTGAAGTTTGTACAATTTGTGAGCATGGAATAGTAAAAGACACAGTAAACTTAAACACAATGGCATCAATTGAAAATCTATAAATCTGACCCCAGTGTCGATTTTCAGCCGATATCTCCATTCTTGGATCATGAGAAGTAACTCATTTTGTCAGCTCATCTCACATATTATAACTTTTTGTTATTTTTATTTGTTCCTGTTCCTTTATGTTTGCCAGCTTCTGTGGTATAGACGCGGTTAAGCGCTTCACTATTTTAACAGGAGACCCCAGGTGGATTCTCGTGTTGGGAGAATTTTCATTGAGAATCTCTGTCTTTCTGCTGGGATGTTGGGGCCCTCTCAACCCTTGTTGGCCCTTACAGGCAGGTTAAGAACCTGCCTTGTAAAAGATCTAAATTGTGTGAATGGCGGCTTAAAAACACCAACATAAAAAACCCGCCCTCCAAATTGTTTATTTTTTATTATCATTATTACTGTTATTGTTGCTATCATCATCATTTTTATCATTATTGTTATCATAATTATCATTATCATTAATATTATTATTACTATTATTATTATTATTACTTTTAATGTTATTATTATTATCATTATTATTATTATTGGTAGTAGTAGTAGTAGTAGTAGTAGTAGTAGTAGTAGTAGTAGTAGTAGTAGTAGTAGTAGTAGTAGTAGTAGTAGTAGTATAATTATTATTTTTATTGTTGTTGTTATTATTTTCATTTATCATCATTATTGTCACTATTATTATTATTATTATTATTATTATTATTATTATTATTATTATTATTATTATTATTATTATTAACATCATCATCATTTCCCACTCCTGTTCCTTTGACCCCCCTCCAGGACTTCAGTAAGTTTGTTACAGTGTTCAGCTCCCTCCAGTCCCCGCCCCAGAGCTGTGTGTACAGCATACAGCACACCGGGCCCGCTGACCTTTCCTTTCAGCCCATCGGTCAACTCACACCAAAGACAGGTGGGTGTCGGCCATAGCATGGTGTGTGGTTGTCCTCTTTTTCTTTTCCCTTTTTCTTCCTTTGTTGTTGTTGTTGTTGTTGTTGTTGTTGTGTGTGTGTGTGTGGTAGCCTATCCGTTCGAAATGTTCGGAGCCCCGAACTTTGTTGTTGTTGTTGTTGTTGTTGTTGTTGTTGTTGTTGTTGTCATCTCCCTCATTCGCTTCTTTATCCCTCCACCCCCCCCCCAACACTCTTGCACTTCTCCATCCCCCTTACCCCTCTCCTGGTGCCTCATCTGACTCTTGTTGTCCACCTTGTCCTCACCTAGGATTAAAAAAATATGAAAGACTGTTAACACATTCTGATTCATCCTAACATTCTGGGTCCCTCCCAGTCTCTCAGGCAGATATACTATATTCTGTGGTCACTGGTGCCATGTTGCTTGGTCAAGTCGCCGACTGACCAATCCTTTTTGCTTTAATGTACATTTGAGTGTTTTCATTCACTGGTGTGTTTGGTGTAATTTTTGGGCTCTTTGCCATTTTTAGCGAAAGGCATGAGTTTGAAACCATGGTGGGTAAGTCTATTTTTTTTTCTGTCTCCATCTTTCTGCCGGGGTGCTGTATTCTGCTCAGTCTTTTTTAAATTTATTTTTTGCTCGCAAATGCATAAGGTCATATGAGCGTCAAGGAGTGGGTGTCAACAGAGAAGTCTTTACAGGGAATCAAACTTAGACTGCTCACCTTTCTAGCTTCAACAGCACAAGGTCTGCTTCGACTATTAAGGCACCCCGGAAATAGCAGGTCACGAGAGAATGCCAAACATACAAAAGAAGTAGATCTAGAGGGAAATGACAATAGTAATGATCAGAAAAGAAAAAGCAGCAGTACCCTGTTGTAGATCAGGCACAGTTATGAGCGTGACATGAGTCAGCCCATTTACAATTTGACAATCCTTGAACGAGAAATGTCCCCCCTTTGGGAATGGCCCAAAGACACTTCGTTCAGTGGCACTGCCCCGGGGGGTCTGCTCAGTCTGAATTGGTCCTGTTAGGGCAGGATTAAAGCAACCTGCCTCCTAAATCATATTAATTCAGTCTCTATGAGGGCGTAAAACGTCTGCTGTCATAACGACTGCTCAGTGTGAGACTCCGTCGTGGGTGATTGGTGTGTGCTCTGATGTGGTTTGCTCCTTCTTTCCTATTAAGTATTTATCATCTTTATCTCTCCTCCTTTTTTGTATTTGTTACTCTCTTGTAACATTTTTGATCTTTGGCATTTATGTGACGTAATTGTGGTGCAAGCAAAGAAAATGCTTAATATAACATAAAACATAAGACTCCGTCATACATCACTTAGATAAATTGTGTATAGCGAATTCTGACTCTAAACGCAGTCGATATAATTATGCTTTTGATTTGTAGCTGTAGTGAGAATCAACCCCTTGTTGGTTTTTTTTCTTTCTCTATCAGCCACCCTGGGCTACACCCCTCCCAGTCTCTTCCAGTACCCGAGTCGAGCTGGTCATGTGACATATGGCCTCTACTTCCTGCCCCGAGGCTATGAACAGGGTCGCCGCTATCCCACAGTCCTATTTGTGTATGGAGGGCCACAAGTCCAGATGGTCTCGAATTCGTTCAAGGGCCAAAAGTTTGTGAATTACTGTGTATTTGTATGTTTGTGTGTGTGAGGATGTACAGGGGTTTCTGTTTTTGAATTTGTTTGATTTTTATGTGTCCGTGTGTAGGAGGAATATTGCTGTGGGACATGATAAAGCAGTGGTGTTTTTAGATTTTAAATGTGTGCGCTTGTATTACAAAAATGTTGTACCTATATAGCCTAAGTCAGGGGTCTTGGCATAGTGTTTGGGTGTATATAATATTATTCAACTGAAAATGAGAAATGGTTTTAAAAACTTTTAGGGTTAAAAAGGGTTTATCTCCTTTCAAAAACATTTTTGTTGTTGTTGTTCTACTGTCTTTCTCTTGCAATTAATGCCCACCTGGGCATTAGAGCTCATCGTTGAGGCAGGCATTTTGTTAAATGTTTTTTGAGTGGGTACTGGCTTCTGTCTCCGACAGGGTTATGGATAGAATTTGAGATATCATATGTCTGTCCACTCACCAGCACACTGTGCCATGTTTGTTTCAGGCTGCTGCGACTCCACACACTGGCGGCTGAGGGCTACGCTGTTGTCGTCATTGATGGCCGGGGGTCTTCCAATCGGGGTCTGGCTTTTGAGTCAGTGCTGAAGAACCAGTTGGTACGTTTTTTCTAATGCGAGTGACTGAGATAGAGGAGATGAGGGTGGGGATGATGGTGATATGTTTTTTATATGCGTGTTTGTTTTTGTGTCTGTGAGTGCTCTCTAAGTGTGTGTATGTGTGTGTGTGTGTGTGTGTGTGTGTGTGTGTGTGTGTGTGTGTGTGTGTGTGTGTGTGTTTGTGTTTGTGTGCATATGTGTACCCAAACACATGGAAAAAAAAGAACTGATTCTTTATTTTGATTACTATGATTATGATTAGATGAGGACGCTCACTGTTTAAAACAATCGGGAATTGACAAATGCTGTTTTTGGGACACCTGAATAGATATAAAGGTCTTGGACATCTAGCTCTCACTGACAAAATCGAAGGCAAACGAGGCAGGGATAGGCCCAGAGCAATCTACTTTAGGAACCTAAACAAATGGGCAACGGGGAAAGATCAGGGAAATGTAGCTTTTTTAAGAGCATCCGAGCAATGGAATGAATGGAGAACCATGATCACCGATGTCTGTCACCGATCTGGCACTGGATGATGATGATGTGCATTTGTGTGTCTTTACGTGCGTACAAGCATGCTAAAAAAGTGTACCTGTTTTGTTTCTTATAATCAGTGTGTGAGTGTGTATATGTGTATATGTGTACTGTATGCCTTTCTGGGTATACGCATGTACTGGTGCCTATGTTAAAGATTTGTTGGGATGGTGTATCCCTCCCAGCACATGTTGGCTCTGACAGGCCCCGTTGAAACAGCCCTAAATGATGTAAATAGTTTTAATGAGGACATTTTTATATAACAAACATCCCTTGTTCCCTCAAATAAAAACATCAGTCAGAAGTAAAAGACCTAGGCTTCTGATCTGGAACAAACAAAAGATACAGAAGGTCATTTTTACCATCATCTATCAAAATGCTTCCATCTTAACCATCTTGTATAAGTATACTTACAACCTTAGAGCATGCATCAAAATAATATTGAGTGTGTATCTAGCTTACGATTGTTATTGTTTTTATTGCTGCATGTGATTGTAAGCCTACGTGTGTATGCATGTGTGTGTGTGTGTGTGTGTGTGTGTGTGTGTGTGTGTGTGTACATGTGGTGAAACACCAAACCAATGTGCCAGGATCTGGACAATAAAGATGTATCTTATCTTATCTTATAAAAATCAGGGTACCGTGGAAATAAATGACCAGGTGGAAGGACTTCTGTGGCTGGCCTCGCAGACAGACTTTATTGACATGTCCCGAGTGGCCATTCATGGCTGGTCTTACGGTACGTGATCTGTTGGAAGCTGGTGGTCGTTGGGACGGGTTTGGTTTCCACATACAGCCTTTGTTTTACGGAAAGGTGTCGGGTTTCAGTCGTACTTTGTTGCTAGTGTACTGAAGGGAGGGTGTGTTACTTTGTTGTTAATTTATTTAAGGGAATGTGTGTTACTTTGTTTGTTAATTTATTTAAGGGAATGTGTGTTACTTTGTTGTTAATTTATTTAAGGGAATGTGTGTTACTTTGTTTGTTAATTTATTTAAGGGAATATGTGTTACTTTATTTGTTAATTTATGTAAAGGAATGTGTGTTACTTTGTTTGTTAATTTATTTAAGGGAATATGTGTTACTTTGTTTGTTAATTTATGTAAAGGAATGTGTGTTACTTTGTCGCCAGTATATTGACAGAATGGTGTGGTAGGTTGTTGTCAGAGGATTGACAGGAAGATGTGTTACTTTGTCCCCAATGGTAATTTGTATTCAGTGAGTGTGTTGAAGGGAAAGTGTGTTACATTGTAGCCAGTATATTGAAGGGAAGGTGTAATACTTTTTTAATGCTTTTTTTTGTCAGAGTATTGACAGGACAGTGTGTTACTTTGTAAGGTAAAGATTAGATATACATTTATTTACCGGGCACTGGCACATTGGTTTGGTGTTTCACCAAAAATGCCCGCACATGATGTAAATGAAAAATTGTTAACGGTAATAATTTTTAAGCTAGGTGCGTAATCAGTATTTTGATAGTGTTGTAGTCAGTGTATTGAAGGGAGTGTGTCTTAGGATAGGGCGCCTGGAAGAATATTTATAGCGCCTTTTAGCGTTGGTTGTGTTGAAATAACTTTTGCATATTTTCAAATTGTATATCCTTCTATTTTCCTTTTCAGGGGGCTACCTGTCCCTGCTTGGATTGGCACAAAGAGGAGACGTCTTTAAGGTGAGTGATACCTGTTTGTCTTTGGTGGTTTTTCTTTTTTTAATTCTATTTTTTCTTTTAATTTGGGTATTTTTATGTCCACCATTGACATAATTTAGACCATGTAAGAGATGGGCTTCAACCCTGAACCCAGCATGTCAGGGACAACTGTGGCCACGGCGTGTACAGCGTCCTAGCACAAAGATTTGGATACTCAAATGAATATAAAAAGTTCTGTCCACTTGGATTTTGAGCTGAGGTCCTCGTGTGTGGTGGCAAAGTGTCTTATCACTACACCACAGATGATGGTGCTGTTTATTTACTCCTGTGGTCTCCTGCTTAGTACTGTGTGACTTTACTGTATATGGGCATTTGTTGTGTTTACCATAATATTAATAATTAATAGCATTTGTGTAGCGCATACCCCGCTCGATGGCAAGCTCTGTGTTCTTTACACTATATTACTACCCCAGCAGACCCTATAACACTCAGAAACGTTCTTGGCTTCCTGGGAAGCGTACAATGACTATGACAATCCTTATTCATCTCAGAGGAGGAAACTTGTCTTGGTCGTTTACAATGACAGTGAATGTTACAAAGGTTAGGTGCACTCATGCATATGCACAACAAGACAGCTGTATATGAGTCAATCACCGCTGCAAACGGCCACTTCCCATTTCCCGCCTTGCTTATTGTTTACATTGTAATGACTCTGTGTAAGAGGGCCACTTTCCATCGACTATGTGTGACTGTCTTGGACAGGTTTGACTGTACGTATATAATCGCATGACGAAACATGGCCTTTATCATCTGCTGACTGGCAACTCGCATCATTAACCCTTTTTGAGCCGTACCGGCCTAAATCGGCCCTCCTGTCATGCTGCCATGCCGGCTTTTCCAGCCGCGACACACCTGCCTTCAGTGTAGGCTTAAAAATAAGAACATTCCATTTTTAAGATTAGATGATGATGTCCTAGATCTTCGTAGAGCATCTCAGGATGTGTTAATGCTAACTTTGGAATAGTCTAACTTTGGAAGAATAGTCACGTGGCGGAAATGAGGTCAAAACACTCGAGAAGCTCGCTGATCCCCTGAAAAACATGTAAGTAATTCAGTTCTAGGAAGTTCTCACCTGGCTACCATTTTGGTTCTGCTGTGCTGACCTGCTGACCTATTTATGGTGCTGAGAGGGTTAAACTACGACTTGACCATTACAATATCGTTGCCCCTCCGCTACAATATCATCATTCTTTCCTCTACACCCACCCCCCACC